AACTTGAAACTGGTTCTTACTGGTGAAATAACCCGGATAAAGTATTTAATTTCTTTTTATCTATGTTTCTGAGACGTGGGCGTTTTACAACTTTATATTGATTTTGATGCAGTTAACATGTTTTTATAACAGCGAGAAAATTAGTTTAAATCAATGAATATATGAAATTCAGATCACGATTCTAATCAATCTATGTCAAAGTATATTTGCGCCACGCTGAATCGCTTGTAGTCATCGAATGTCGTTAGTCTGCCATTAGCAAACTTAAGTGAAGCTGTTGTGTTCTTGCTTGCCAGGCTCTGTTTGTTAGTATGGCGTCACTTCAGATGCGCCGACTTTTTGCTCTGCTCTGTTCAGCAGCTGCAATTTGTCGAGCCAAAATCATATCGATTGGCGAGTTGGATCCACCAGTTTCTGCTGCCTTGCCAACCCGCTCCACCTATCCCGCCTGATCGCGCATTCTCCCACTGAATGGAATCGTTTCAGACGCTAAAATTTAATTACTAGCCGGGAAATTGAATAAGTGGTATCCTCATTAAGAAATTCGTTCTCTCCCTCTAATTAATGTGCAAGAAACAGGCGTAAGAGTGAAGGAGTAAAAGTGGAACAATTGCGAGGCCCAAGGAAGGAAAAGGGAGATAAAAAGAAATTAAAGAGAATAGCCCGGTAGGGAGATGGGCGGGTTAAAAAGCTGAATTGAATAATAAAAAAAAAAAGGAGATAGAAAGAAAGACAGGCAGTTAGGTAGGAAGGGTGTTAACATGAATGAAGATTTTAAAAAATGGAGAAGAAAAGATGGCGGCGAAAGAAAGAGTGCATGCCTAGTACGTGATCGAACAGGAAATGAAGCAAACCAAAGACGTTTATGCTAAAGGAGAGTAGCACAGAGAGGAGAGTAAGGATAGGAAGGTTTAAGAAGAAAAAAGTGAAGACCATTATTAAACAAAGGCAAATCGAGGGAATAAAAAAAATCAAACAAGGAAGAGAAAAATAAGAAAAAAAAAACAGAACAAGATGTAGTAAACATCAGAGTGTATGAAATAAAGAAAATGTCCGATAATATTGACAGGAAACGAACAGAAAATGGAGTGGGAGGGAGAAACAAGTAAAATTCGAATCCGAAACAGAAGCGGCCAAATAAAAAGCTCTAGAAATAGAATCGGACAAAATAAGAAACTGAAAGGGTAAGAAAAGAAATCTGGAACCAACAGATAGAAAATTAAGGGATAACCCGGGTTGGGTATAGGGTTAACAAACTCATCTGTTTGAAAATTCCCACTGAGTAGCGAATTCTTTCTTCATTGAACACCCAAGATCTTTGACCTTTTATAAAAAATTTCGAAGAGTTAGAAAATAACCATAATTTGAAAATAAGGGCTATCTGTGTTGCATAATGCTTAACGTGCTCCCTTACTAATATTACTGAGTAGTGAATTATTTCCTCACTGGGTATTCTGTATTTTTGCATGTGTACCAAACAAATCTAAGTTCCGTAAAATGACCAACAGTGGAAAATATGGGGTACATCCTTATCACTGAGCTGTGATTATCGATTTCAGTTAAATAAGCTCAGTAAAATGACAAAAGATAGAATATAACGGGCATACGTAATGGTTAACGAGCTCAGCACTTTAACCATTCCAACTCAGTAGTTCATTTTGATCCTCACTGGGTACCCTATACGTTTGTCCATCTAAGAAAGTTAAGCTGAGTAAAATAAAAACAGATGCGAGATAAGGCTATCTCAGCCTGAGGTAATGATTAAGGAACACGACAACTTAACAATTAGTACTTTGATGTGAGTTCCATCCTCATTGTATACACAGTACTAATAGCCTTGCACTAATATACGCTAAATTTTTAAAATAAAACCAGATAAAATAAATGTGGCCATTAGTAACTGTGGGAGAAGAGGAAACAAAAGTAAGAAGCTTTGGTACACCCTGTTTAGTAATTCCGGTACAAAATACAGCATTAGCGAACCCAGTGAGAATCAAATTTAGTTACTTGAAAATTGGTTTGAGAGACAAGGTTGTTAATAATCATATCAAAACAGGCACCCAGTCTGTGATAATTATTGGACCAGCGACACAGTTCATTCGATTTATCTTTTAAGTTTGCTTAATAAAGCGAATTTCAAAGACTCATGCTTCCAGCTTTTACTCGATTGAACAAAATATTTACCAATTTCTTCCGCTATCGTCTGCCATCTTTCAGGAAGATTTCATAATTCTGTATTCCCAGAAGTTTTTATTATTATCTATTGGTGCTCAATGCCTTACGAATACGACGAACAAGGTAAATCTCACCAGCTAAGTTAATAATTTGTGCGGAGTCCAAAAGAAACATGGTCTAACCATATCACGATGGAATATGACGGCTTTCCACTTGGCAGTCGAAAACGACGGTTTTTCTCTCGTCCATTAGTGAATGCCCACGTTCATTCACTTGCATCCTCTGTGTGGTATATAACGCCTTTTCTCTTGACCAATACTGAATAGACTCTTTTTATTTTCTGTTACAATCACTTATACCCTCTGGAAGCCGTATTATTCGAATTAGTCTCTTGTCTAACTCAGGAAGGTGTGTAGTAGAAGATTCATTTGTAATCCTTCCATAGAGCCAAACGATTTTCTCAAGTAAATTGCGATCTTTGATAGTTCTCAGGATCACTATCACGAGTTTGGTAACACAGTAAGATTGCAGGAACACAACATGTAGTGTAGCTGTAGAAAGAGTTGGTGTGAACAAGATAGACGGAACTAATCCCATTTTAAATTTGATTTAATTAAGCGTTTTTATTCTGGTAGACTGGTTTGTCTACCAAGCTTAACCCGTTACCTGCCATGAGCCACATTTGGGGATATGTTAAAATTAAACTCTCATGTTATTCCTTGTATTTACCTTGAATTGCTTACAGACATTGCATTTGCAGGGATATATTTTACAACACTTAGCCCTTAAAGTTTTTATTATTAGCCGTATGAAGACACTTTCTGTCGTAATTTTACATTTCACGAGTAGAAAAATAATGACTATTTTCTAAAGTATTTTTATATTATTTCTAATCAATATTATTTTTTGATGTTTTACACACATATATATTTGATTTTCTAGTTTCTATGAAAACGACTATGGTAGCTACTGAAATTATACTTAAAAAATAAATAAACTCCTAAGACACCTGTCTGGGCTAAAAATGCGCATTAAAAAATTTGGCAGTTAATCGGTTTAAGAGACTAGTCTGATCTACCATTTAACCCATATAAAGAAAGAAAAATTCATGTCTTTTTTCCAAAAGCATTAGTGCTAAATGAAAGAGACTCGGTCAAAATTTAACATTCACTTGCATTCTGTATGTGGGATATGACGCCTTTTATCTTGACAGTGAAATATAACGGCTTTTCTGTTGACGGTGGAATATAATGCATCTTTTTTTTTTAAACAATACTGAATATTCTCTTTTTATCGTCTGTTCCATTCACTTGCACTCTGGGTAGAATATGACGCTTTTGCCGGATATTTTACATACACTGGCTCTCTACCACGTTGTATAACACTGATTATTCAACAGTTAAGCTTTCATTTTGTCGTCATCAATCTAAGTTTATCTACCTGACAGTTCAGCATCGTTCAAAAAGTTATTTGCAGCAGGTAACAGCAGGAATCTTCATAATATGCATGTCTATTTTTGTGGTTGAATCGGATTTTTAGCATTCTTAAAATAAAAAAAGCAAATTATATGCCAACAATGATAACTATATCCGGACAGAAAATATACTTTTCTGAAACGGAATTTGAGGAAGATTATCTCATGTAATATTTACTTTATCTGCTTTGAAACAAATATTATTACTTTTAGTTTAAAATATCACAGAAAAGCATATTTAACACGGTGGATGATTTTATGATGTTGACAACTATTTAGATAGACATGTTTGCGATTTTTTTTTTTTTTTTTTTTTTACGAAGTGACATCGCTTCTTTTGCTTTTAAACTTTTCACCCCAAGCAAAGTGGGCGTCCTGGGTATGACGATAAACTACATCCGCATCCTGGGTACGACGATAAACTACGTCCAAAAGCAAGGCCTCTGATCAGGTTTTGAGACGCGTGGAACCACCTCTTAATTTCTGGTGTTCCCAGGTCCACCCTGACCCATGGTGATAGCACCTGTTAGGGTCCCAGCAATGGGTAAATAGTTAACCCACAAACAAGGGCCAAAAGACTATGAAAGTGTAAAAAATATGTCTTAATACCAGAAATACTTTGTAAAAAATTGTTACCAGCAATACATTTTAGGCAAAAAAAAAAAAATTACCAGCAATACTCTTTTGAAAAAAAGAAATTACCAGCAATACTTTTAAAAAATTATTACCCGCTATACATTTTTTGAAAAAAGAAAGCTGTAATACCAGTTATACATTTTTTGAAAGAAGTATTACTAGAAATAGATTTTTTGAAGGAAATGTATTACTAGCAATACATTTTTGAAAAAAAGTTATTACCAACAATAATGATATTGTCAGCATTAAATAACCCATTGAGGCTGATATGCCATAAATCAAACCAAACCAAACCAAACCAAGGAAAGTGGTAATGTCACTAATACACAGGGGGTTACAGTAAGTGAAAGTGAAAGTGAAAGTGAAAGTGAAAGAGAATGAGAAGATTGGGAATGGGGAGGATTCAGAGGAGGACAAAAAAAGAACAGGGTTCAAGACAAAGATAACAATTGAGGTTGCATTTAAATTTTTGAAGATAAGCAAGAAATCGGAATGTAGCTAGAAGTGCGAGAAAAGAAATGGTTGGAAGAGAAGTCGCGGTTGCATTTAGCTAGTTCATCAGTAAAATGGTGAGAACTTGTTGCCAATCTAGTCAGTCAGTTATGTACCATGCGGGATACACGCTTAGGCGATCATGTATCTTTCCATACATGACGGACAAGGCAGATTTTATCCCCGCAGTAGGTTGCCATATCTTTCTGCCATCCAGGGCTAGAGAACTCTGTCTGTCTTGCTATTTTACCCATAACCGGGAGAGAAGAAGATATTTCATACCTCTACCAAGTAGCACGCTTAAATAGATTTAGTCTGAGCACCAGGGGGTCAAAAGCTTATCAGAACAGTTGCCATAAAAATATTAGTAGATAAAAAGAGGGAACTCACGTCAGGTCGGTGAGAAAATGACTGCGCGAGATGCCTGGTCAGAATCATTTTCATTACAGCACATTCTTTGGGTTTTGTCAAGAATAATGGCATATATAGCAGTCACACTAGACCGTATATAGTAACAGTCTTCAATGCAAGGACGAATAGCTGATTTGCAAATTTTCAAGATGAATTACGACGAGTAAATTGTTTGTCATGATACAGTGAACCTGGCAGTAGACATAGTAACTGATTCGATATATTATCTCCAGTTGAAAACGTGAGGCCAAGAAGACATACAGTGTTATTCTCCTGCAGTTTAGCATCAGTCATGCTCATAGCAAGCAGAAAAGGTTCTTTGTGATGATTAAATGAAAGCAGTTTTGGAAGCGTTAAAATTTACAAGTCATTTCTTGCTCCAGTTAACCATTGATTGAAGGTCCTTTTCAAATATAGTTGCAGGTTTACTTCATCAGATCTGTCGGATTTGCGAGTAAGACAGGACTAAATGGTTATGTCATCTGCATAACTATCTAGTTGGGAACTGATGACATCAGGGAGATCATTGTTGAAGAACAAAATCATCGTAACTCCAAGGATAGAGCCCTAGGGGACTCCTGCTTTAGTATGAAAAGATATAGAAGCATGCACTTTTAACATTACCTTCATTACATGATGTGCTTGGAACGATAAAATTGAGCTAAATATTCGTCCCGTGAGACCGTAGCTCTCTAGCTTGCGTAGGAGGCCAGTATGCCTAGTTCTGTCGAACGCATGCGATATATCT